TCTGATTCTGATTCTGAAAACATCCTACTAGTGTCTGAATGCACATACATCATTCTGCACAGTGAAGATCAAACATCCAACTATATGAACAAGAAGAAAAACATATATTAGAGTGGAGGTGGGCTTGAAAGAAAGCATAGAACTGGTATAAATCAAACATTGCATACTGAGACAGTCACGGCCACTGAACAACTAGGGAGAAAGGCTCTATAGAAGTATTTTACAAGAGCTGCGGCTCCCATTAACAATGGGTCTTGGAAAGCCTGAGGATATGTCATACAGCATGCAGTGCCAGCCATCTCTCGTCCTCCCAAAACAGAGTTTGTCAACACATCTGCTGAGGTTCAAGATTTGGAGTGTGGAAGCTGACAAGTGCTGGCATTCATTGTAGGGCACTGAGGATGGATGAGTGGCAAAAATCGATGCTGCAACATTTGAAGAACCTGGATACGCCAGGCCAGCTGTTGCTGTTGCTTGATTTTTAAAATGTCTCCAGGTTTGTTCAGGTTCTTGACAAAGGGCTTGCTGGTGAGACGGGCAAATGTTTGGACAGCTGTTCTTATTGTTGCAGAGCTGTCCCACAGCAGGAACTAAGCACACATACAATAAGGCTACAGTAGATCTAATGGTCTGAAAGACGGTGCTGAGGAGCACTGTTACACAGGTATGTATTTCTTGTTAATAGCACTGTTAACCATTTGAGGGGTTTTAATTAAGTTCCTGAAATAAATTCTGTTGGCTACCAAACTGTGAAGCTCACAACTAAATTTGTTTTGGTGGGAAAGAGGACCCACTGACAAGATACTTAGATGCTAGACATTGGTCACCAAACTAACTTAATTAGAGGTCTTGAATACTCCTCCTGGGTTAAGGTTGTTTATGCCACATTTTGTTTGATCTTTGCTTCAAAACGCTAACATTTAGCAGATTAAATTTTGACACCGTAGATTAAAACAGCCAAATTATATCCAAAAGAATAGTTCAACGCTTATACAAACAACAAAATATACTACAAAGCACAGGGAACAGGGGGAAGAAGCTATATCTGTTTCAAACTCTGCACAGACATCATTCTGTACAGTGAAGCTCAAACATCCAACCGTAGGAACAAGAAGAAACACATATTTATGAGTGGAAGTGTGCTTTTACCTTCCTATAATCCTGTGCCATTGCTTTTGATTACACGTTCACAAGATGTGTTTTGCCTAACGAGTAATGCCTAATTAAACACATAAAATCCTATTGTTGTGAAAGTCCTCCCACCTTATAAGCCCACACATCCTCTCTCATATTCATAAACAACATGTCTTTACATATAATATACACTCCAGGGATACATAGACTATCAAGGGTTGACTGCAATGGTTGCATTTTAATGAAACTAATCAAACTGTTGGTTTATCATTTGCACATACATTGCCCATGGCACTGTCAGGAGCCTGGTGCACCCTTTATATAAAAAGCAGTATGCTGAAAAGTCTGGTTCTCATATGAAATGCGGTCTGATTTGCTTGAGTGCATCCCTACATAGAGCAATCAGTGCTTTCTGCAGGTTGTAGGACGTCTTTCTGACCTCCTGTTATGCCAACAGACTGTATAAAACTGCATGACTTTGTGGTTTGGCATTCTGGTGTAGCTGCAATGCAGAATTAATCCACCGAGCGGCAGCATTTCCTCAATATTCACATTGCCTCTGCCATACACTTCTACACAAAGAATTAATGTTGACCTATCTGTTCTACACGAACAAATGGATGCACATTGACTGTGAATGACTTTTACTCTTTTTTCTTCTCTTTAAAATCAAGATAAAGCCTATTGATAGGGCCACATGAACATTTATATTATAATATCTGCTTTATTTAATCCCTCTCTTTTATTATATCTTTGATTGATCTGCACTTTACAATTTGCACTCTGCACTGATCTGATTTGGGTTTTAACATTGCCACTGGATCATAAAAGACAATGGACACTGCAATGTGAATCCTCAAGTATACATTTACAGATATTTAGTTTTTGTACTTTTGAAAAGGAATTTGGCTGAAACCTACTGAAAGGTACATTGTCCACAGTGAAAAGGCTTGGTAAATACAGGCTTATCGGTTAAAGTGTGCTGCTTTCCTTGCAGGTGCAAAAGTGTGCAACAAGCGGGACCTGTGGCGCGTCTTTTTCAGCGCCAGCGGGGAGTGGAGAGGGGACGGGGGGGCGTGACGCGCGCCACAGAGGTCACATTTCAGCCTGCTTCGCGGATGAAGACAAAGATTAAAGGCAGAGAAACGACAAACTGTTCTTACTGCAGTGAACCTGTAGTGCACTCATTCCAGTCCACATCCATTTTAGTGCCCAGTGTGTGTGTGTGTGT